TTCGCGCGCCGCGTCCAGGACCGGCACACGCTCGCGATGGGCTCCGCGATCGGCCTCGCGGGCCTGCTCATCGCGCTCGCGATCCTCGGCGAGGAGAAGGTCAACTACGGCAGCCTCTTCATCTGCTGGTTCCTCGTCGCGCTCGGCTTCAACATCGCCAGCACGGTCACGCTCAGCTTACTGTCGAAGCAGCTGCCCGGGGAGTGGAACGGGCGCATCAGCCTGGCGATACAGTACAGCAACTACTCGGGGCGGGTGACGGGTGCGGTGTGGGGCGGCGCAGGGGTGAAGATCGGGATGCTGAGCTACGTGGGGATGCAAGTCGCATACGTCGGCATCGGGGGCATACTGTTCATGACGCTGTGGAAGCAGCTGAAGGCGAAGACGGGATAGACTTTTAGATATCGTGATCATACTTTTCTTTCACTACAAGCACACTACACGCGGCCCAGAACCCGCTTCCTCACGAGAGGCGAGAGCCGCCGCCTCTTCGGAGCGTCCGTCTGGTGCGCACAGTCCGAGCCCGTGCTGCTCAACCCCGCTGTAGCGCTCGAGCTCAATTCCGAGGTCGGGGACGAAGGCGCAGCGCCCGACGAACCACTCGCAGTCGCTGTCACACTACTGCCCGAGGGCGTGTTCCCCTCATCGGAACCATTGTCATGGTCAGAGTCTTCCGCGCGGTTCGGTGGGGCCGACGTAGACGTCGCGGACGCCTGCGCACTCGTGTTCTCAGTAATAGACTTCAAGTTGCACGTACAGGGGGCGTCAGTCGGGGTCTGTGACTTGTCCGGCGTGTGCACCGAGGAAGTGGTAGAGGGTGGCGCCGACGATGCTTGAGAATCCTTCGGGGTCGAAGATGCAGACGCGGAGTGCGCGCTGCCCCCGTTGTCATGGCCGTCCCCAGACACCAGCTTTGCGATGGGTGGGCCGGGGAACGAGGTGTATGTGTACGTCGGGTCGTTGTATCTCTGTATAGGCGACGGGCGTTCAGTCAGAGCCATGGACTTAGACAGGCCGAACGAATGGTGGAGGGATGCTCACAAATCCCTGGAGACCAGGATCGTCGGCGTGGTACGCGCCCGGAAAGCTGACCGTAGAATCTGGCGCGCCGTCCCCGTCGCCCGTGACATTGAGTTGCGTGCACGACACGTAGAACTCGACAGGCGAGATGTGGTTCGCGATGATCTACCGCACGAGCCGATTCAAATGTGCATCAAGGTACAACAAGATGCCTCTATTTACCTCGTTGCGGATCAGGTACTGGCCCGCTTTGAGACTGTCCGGGATCTCCGTAGTATACGGGTCTCCCTTGGCTGCGAGCCCGCTGGGTCAGCTTCTGCCGCGCCAGAGTTTGAACGAACATGAAAAACTCACCAAGGTCGGCAAGATACCATTCTGTGTGCGACCCGGGTTTGAGGCCGACCTCGTCCGTCTTGAACCACTTCGCCCCAGAAGCGTTGAACCGGTCACACGGCACCCCCTCGCACAATGCCATGTACGTCAGGATGGGCCCCGCGGAGTGAAACCACTGTTAGGCCGGTCAGCCGTGTTAGGCAAGCAAGCCAGTATGGGTGGTGTAGCAGAGCCAGTGCCTACATGATAGTTCTTGCTGGGATCAGTAGAGACCCAGTCAAAAGAGATATTACTCCCGGGGTGTGCCGAGGCCAGGAGTCCGGCTGGCAATGCGCCCGGACCACAAGCCAGCTCGGGGTTCGATACATCCGTTATTGGGCCTTTGCTGGAGACCAACCGGATGGCGCTGTCCGGTGCTGCGGGTGGCCGTGAGCGAGCTGTTCACGGCCACGAGACTATGTCTAGCGCATATGCACACCTGGAGTCACCGTTTCTTCCTGGTACGGATGTCCTTCGTATGTTATGCCGTCGATCTTGACGTCGGTAACGTACCCATGAGCGGTGACGAAAGGGACGAGGGCGAGTATAGCCGAGAAAGAAAGGAGGGTGAGTTGCATCATGTATTGCGTTTCGAGGACCTGGAAGGATTGGTATGGCTGAGTTGCACGAGCCTGCTCGTGAGCTCAGAAGAGGATGTTTAGGAGTTGTACAGGTAAACTCCAGCATTCGTCTGCTAGGCATGGCTTTATATCGATGCCATTCCTGGGATTTCAAACCGAGCAGAATTGATGCCCCCGTATGTCATGCGGCGGGGGTGTATCGGCTGTAGGTCGTTGTGTGTGAAACTAGATACTCCAAGGCTCGAGATCATCATCACGCTATTGGACTACGCACCCGTCGTTGTTGGTAAAGCACGAAGAACTGTAGTTACCTCTGCATTCAATCGTTTGCCCGGGGAGGCCGGCGACTGATGTTCAATTGAGTGAGTAATGATCGGTGTGGTCCAGGCAAGCAGGAATTGCTAGGTCGATCATGCATACATTAGACGAGCTCTACTTCGCCTCGCAATAGTAGCTGTTCAATAACATGATAGGGTATCAACGATATCTGTCCTTTCTGCATTTCTGACATCGTCCCGCTGCAAACAACAATCAGCCCTCGCTGCGCTACCATCAATATCATGAATACGCACTCGGGTAACCGCACAGGTGGACAATCCTGTAGCGCATGCGCAAAGACAGGCCTTGTCTTGTCTGGTGAAGGGGCTGGATAGGCAACGGCAATTGAGAACGGAAATAGGGCATAAAATAGGCAACAGAACAACACACTCATTGGCGGCATGAATGCTACATCTTCTTCCAGCGACCTCTGCTGCTCTGGTAGGCTCTGCAGAACGGAATGGTCGAAGTGGTACTCCACAAGGCGCGAGTATCTGTAGGTAACATGAATACGCCGAACACGCCAGTTCGGTATTCATGTTCTGTTCCTGACCTTCGAGCGTGATCGAGCTCCGCTTTTGAGAGCCTCTCATGCATTTCTTCGGAGGCGCTGATAAACTTGGCATACTTCTCGATCTAAAGTACACACTTGAGGACCGCGAGAGCATATGGCAAAGTCGGTGAGACATACCTTGTGCAACCGTGTACGAACGTATGACCGGATGACGAACTTGACGCGTTCCACCTCGGTCTGCACCAGCATTATCCGGAAATGCTCTTCCTCGGATGAGTCGGGGTCGGCACGCAAGAGCTCGACGTCGTTAGACTACCGCTGGACACCATCAGCATCTCCCCCATGTACCACACTGCATACCCGCGCGCGCTAGCCACACCGAAACTGCTCACTCACCTGTTTCCTAATGTGATCTAGTAACCGTCCAAGCAGCATTTCTTGACCAGGCAGAATGTCAGGGGAGTGTCTCTCGTTCATCCAATGTCGTATAAGCTGCTGGAATGGCGTCTCCTCCGCGATGTCTTGCGCGAGGAACGCTGGTCGCGGGTTCGGGATGTGCAGGTCGTCATCATCTTCAGCTCCGCGCGCGCGGTCCACGAAAGAGGGTCCCGCCATCGGCGCGTCAAAGTCATCGTCCCAGCCAGCGTCCATATTGTAGGGAGGGCAAGCGGTGTGAGTCAGAGGTGGTGGTACGGGTGAGAGGCAGGACGTGCTTGACGCGACGCGGTGAGACGCGTTGTGGCGTCTACGCGAGAATAAGCGCCCATTCTGCTCTCGATCGTACTTGGCGCTCAGCTCTGACCCACGCCGTAACGGATTTCTCCATGTGTCTCACTGCCGGATGTCCTACGATGACCACAGGACAGCAAACCCAACGTCAAGTAACGAGTTGAATGAGCGCAAAAGACGCGCACAGGATCCATCTCGGCGTACACTGGATGCACAGTCCTGTCTCAGCCTTGTCCTTGGGACCGAACTTGTGCAGTCCGCCATAGACCACACACGCAAGAAACTGGTACATCAGCAATGACAAGTATACTCGTACAACACTGGAATCAAATGCTACACGGAGACTGACCTATCCCTCCCATTCTTCGTCGTCTTCGTCTCGTCGCGAACGTCCCCCTGCGTGGTCGTCCTCGTCTTCATGGGCATCGTCCACCTCCATCTCCCGCTCTTCCTCCTTCTCTTCCTTCTCCTCCTCCTCCTTCTCCTTGTCTGCCGCCTTTCTCCGCCTGCGCTTAGGGGCCGGCTTCTCCTCGCCGTTCGCATCACCCGCAGCCTTCTTGTCCTTGCCCTTCCCGCGCTTCTTGCTACGCGCCTCCGCGTTCTCCGCCTCGATGTCGATTGTACCGCCTGCGGACGGATCCGGGACCGTCTCGACAATCTCTTTCAGAAAGTCGAGCATCTCTACGGTTTCGACAGCATGTTTCCTGCACGCGGGGAAGGTGCGCGCATGATCGCAGACCGGTGAGACAAGTATGGGGGGGGACATTTGAAACGAATACGCACAAGTGATATGCCTCTACGCGTTTGGAGCCGCGCTCAACCGTGACCTTGCTTGCCTCATCCACGATCATGGCAAGGAAGAGTTCGAGAGCCTTGGCTGTGTACGCGCGAGAGGGCGCGGCGTTTGGCACGAGCACGTAGGTGGGACAGAGCGCGCACTGTGAAATTAGCAAAGTGCTTCGCATTGCGATGGTGTGGTCGACGTACAGATGACGACGGGTGTGGCTTGCGCTACTTTCCCGACCTCCTCGTCCTTCTGCATGATGCGCTTGATGCGCGCCTGAGGTGGGGTGGGCGGTGCACATGAGCGCGAGTTGGGCGCGCGGATAAGAGCGCAAGCGCGGTACAATCGCGGAGGACATTGGGCATCCAAGCAGCGGCGAGACAAGACAAGCGTGAACGCTATTCAGTGTGCTGCACCCGATGAGGGAAGGAAGGGCATACGACTGGGAACTTCGTTGTCTTGTTCTTGTTCTTCATGTTGGTGCAAACGGAGTGTATACTGAACAGGAAATGCCTCAACAACAAGCCAAGTAGCTCACAGCAGGATGGTTGTTGAGGTCAGCAAGAGATGAGAGACCCGAGGAAGCTTTGGAGCACCGGGCAGTAGCACGGGAATATATGTATTGTTCGCGATCCCGGCGTCAATATGACTTTATGAACATATTGCCAATCCTTTGAACTATACGCCGATGGTGAAGTGGTTATCATGCTTGCCTTCCACCTGCAAATGCAGGAGTTAGCAAGCGGCACGGGTTCGATTCCCGTTCGGCGTATCGTTTTGCCTTCATCTTTCATGAGTCTTTTCCATCCTCCCTCTTTTTTGAGCGCGGTCCAGTGTGTGGCTAGGCTTCGGTGAGCTATACCAGCGCGCCGTTAAATACTTCTGCTACCCTGTTCCTGCCCTCATCTTCCACCCACACATTCCTACAGCACGTACCATTGTTTGAGGGACAGCATACATGGGCGTATCTACTGAACGGAGACCCATACAACCTCTGAAGCGGCGCAAGATCGCGCATTCGAAGTCTCCGGCTCTGTCACCGCGGTCCCTTGTCCCCACTGCTCCGGCCAACATCAAGGTGCCGATATGTACCTCTTGCCATCGTTCGTTCTCCGGTGCAAAACAGAGTCAACTCGTGCAGTGTGCCAGGTACGTGCTGTCTCCTCATGGAGGCCGTTCGTCCCTTCGCCGCCGCCTGCGCCTGCGCGGACTGGGCCGGATGTGCTATCCGCGCGCAAATGGCGAGTGGTCAGCGAACGGGTGCTGAATGTGCATACAGGTGCCACGAAACGACCTGCACGATCTGCTCGCGGACGTGCAACGGCTGCCCGCCGTCGACGCCACCCACGCCCGCACTCACGGAGGGCTCCGAGCCGTCCAGCGGGCCCGACACGCCCCTCATGTCGCCGCAGCTCCAGTCACGGGCGCCGTCCGTGCTGGGCATGAACATGGCGAACGTGCAGCAGGAGGAACCGGCGCCGCAGACCCTCGCAGGGCGCAGACGGAAGGTATGTGATCTCGATCAGGAGCGGGACGACGGCCTCCGTGAGGAGAGAGACGGGGCGGAGGGTGTGCTGCCTGGCTGTGGGCGAACGGTATGCCAGAAGTGTTGCTTCGAGACGCTATCGAGGTGCGTGTGTGTTGCGTCTACGTTGCAGGGTTGTGGACGCTGACCGGCAGGACTGGCTCCTCCAGCGACCTCACGACCTGCTACGACTGTGCAGCCCGTTACAAGGGCTCGGACTAGCTCCCTCAAGGAATCCCATCGTCCATCTCCATTCTTCATCGGTCCCACGCAATGCTCTCGCTCGCTTGTATATGCTCCCACCACATATTGCTGCACATCAAGTTCGATTACGTCTGCTCATCCGTAGTGCTTTTCCCTCGCCCCTCTTCTCCCTCATGACGACCACACCCTCGTCCCGTGTACATTTATGTTGACACCCCTAATACCATCTCAGATACTCGCAGATATATGACTAGCCTCCGTGTCTGGTCGAGCCTGTTCCGCCCCGTAGAACTACCCATCTCCCGGACTCCCAGCGTGCATACATAGTACAGGTTCCTTTTACGGAACCTCTCGCGTGGAATTACATGTATAAAAATCACCCACTTACGCTTTGGTATACCATATGACAGTGTCGCCGCCTTGCTACTTACAATCTGGGATGCGATTCAGGCGTAGCAATGGGTAGCCATCACTGTGCTCGTGTGAGGGCTTCATGCGGTGTTGCGCGCTGCCTGAACAGAATCTTGAATGCTGGTGTGCAGTGTGGTCTTCTGCATTCCCTTGCACTGTCACTCTACCGAAGCGTTGTACCACATCTGCGCCTTCGTTTCTCTTTGCCTTCTAGCCTCGAAGCAGTTGGTCGCGCAGGGGCGTTGGCGGCGGCAGACAGCTAGTCATGGAGCCGTGCCACGATCACCTGACCTGTGACAGACGCGTGGTTCCCTCATTTCGCACGCGTCAAGACATCGCCTGCGTTGCGGCTGTCTCTCCTCGACCACGACTACCATAACTCTGTGTAGGTGGATATATGCTCTGAAGTTTCCGTAAGGAATACTTACTGTACTCTGTTGTCGGTAGGTACCCGCTAAAAGGGACAGCGTAGGTGCTGAGTCAATCGTTCGCCATCGGTGAGCGCGTACACAACTACGAGAATATCAGGCATCTCGTTTGTGATAATTGATGCTGAAACAAGACCATCGCTCTAATTTTGCGGGTTAGGCTCTTTGTAAACCTACTAGTGCCCTTTACGGACATGGCGCGGCCAAACGAACAAGCCATCGACCTTGTGGGAGAACCGTTTGCTGTTGTAGAATCTGATCCTGGTGAGCCCGCGCAGTACTATCGAGGTTGCAAGATATTTTGTGGACCATTGTTGCTACTTAATATAGGTGTCTTTACGACGCTCATCCGGAGATTAGGCGTCCGAGGCTTGGAAATCACTGAACTCTACAGTGTCGAGCCTTTCGAGACTGACCACCTCAATCCCTATGGGCTCATCTTCTGCTACCTCTGTGACGACGACGTGAACGACAGGAGTGACGTCGATTCAGAGGATGAGCTCGAAGACCCCGACGCGCGTTCAATCTGGTTTGCCAATCAGCTGAGCAGCGACGCTTGCGCGTCCCAAGCCATCCTGAATGTACTACTTAACTGCAAAGGAGTCAACGTTGGACCAGCTCTACGGGAGTTCGCAGTTGAGACAGAAGAGATGTCGCCTGTAGTCAGTCAGATTCATGCGGCCATGTCATAGGCTCGGTCTGACGTAAACCTGGCGGGCAGATGAGAGGCCTGGCTGTTTCGAATCTACCTCTAATTCGCGAAGCACACAATTCGCTCGCCAGGTAACGTTTGCTCGACCTTTGTGGCGCTTCCATGTACCGCCCACTGATTCCGCTGAGGCAGGCCGGCGGACATCCGTGGTGCACACCGTGCGCTGGCCACCTCGGCACTCGAGTCGGCCAAGAGCAAAGCGCAGGCGGCCGGTTCCCCTCCCTCCAAAAAGCGCAAGACGACAGGGTCCTCGTCTCGCACGCGGCGGAAGGCCTCCTCCGCGCGCGCGGACGAACGGCTGGACGCGTACCATTACATCGGCTACGTGCCCGCGCACGGCCGCGTGTGGGAGCTCGACGGCCTCTCCGCCGCGGGCCCTCTGGACGTGGGCGCGATCGACTCCGACGCCCCTGACTCCCGCGCCGGGTGGATGGACGTGGTCCGGCCGGCGCTGCAGCGCCGCATGCAGACCGTCCTCCAGAGCGGCGGCGCGGGCCACATCCAGTACAACCTCCTCGCGATCGTCGACGACGCGTACTTGAAGCTCAGTGACGAGCTTGAGATGCTCAAGCGCGAGCGTGCGGCGCTGGAGCGGAGGCTGGGGCAGTGTTTCGGGGAAGGGTGGCCAGACAAGGTGCGGCGCCGGCATGCATAACTGTCAACGCTCGGGGCGGCGGTAACCAGACGGCGGTCGGTTGTGCAGGTAGACCCGGCGCTGCTCGCGTCCGCGTCGGAAGCGTTTGCTACGACGCTGCGAACGCGTGCACAAGACCCTGGGAAGGTCTTCGCGCCGGACTTCGGCGCGCGCAAGATGGAGAAGGACCTTGCAGTTCTGGACATGCCGGAGCGCAGGCTCGTGCCCGCATGGGAGGAGTGCGTCAGGGCCGCGCTAACTGCGAAGGTCGCAGTGGAAGAAGAGATCGAGAAGTCGCGACGGGCACAGGTAGGCACATTGCCGCACGTCCTACGTAGGTCGAGGGCTTGCTGCAGTTGCTCACTCGCATTTGGCACCGATGCAGGCGGACAATGTCAGGAGAACGTTCGACTACGAGCCGTTCATACGGGAATTCATCGTCGCTCTTGAGAATGAGGGCTTGTTAGATGAAGCCCTAGACGGTAAGACCGGCGACGGCGCGGATGTCCGTCGTCCTCAACCCGGTCCGTCTGCGAAATCGGGGGCGAAAGCGAAAAGAAGATAGTTTCTGGCGGGGCTAGCCAACGCAGCGCAGGTGAGAAACCCTTTCTGGTGTTGAGTATGGTATTTATGCTCATCCAATGTACGTGTTGGGCATAGAGCACAGTTGCGTAGCTGCGCCAGGGACTGCCCCTGGCATGCTGAAATGTCATGGTTTTGTGTGCATGGCAACCCTTGCCCGTGCGCCGTGGCCTCACGGTCACAATGGGATCCACGTAGCGTGCGCACGTCCTGTCAACGTCAGGGCCATGGTACAAGGTCCATGCGGGTACCCTCGCCTTCTGGTCCGCATACCCGGGACCGCAGCGTCAACCTTGAATAGTTCAATGGCCGCAATCAAGGTGGCATTACCACTCTTGCATGCTTCCCCACATGCGTGCAGACGAAAACCGAACAGGAAGTACTGACCAGGAGCGGGAGAAGCGGACAGCGTTATGGACACCACCGTGCTATCCGAGATCGTTCAATACGAGAATCATCGCATCCTGCGCCGGACGGGTGCACGGTGAGTGGGCCGTTCGCGTCCGGCGCTAGGAGCACGCGAGAACGATTGACCCAGGCGAACGGTGCTCGAGCCGCTCGCGCGCCCGCACATCTCTCTCATCCTTCCTTTCATTCACGCCCACGACTTTCTGTGTCTGGACTACATGGGACCACGTCTGAAGCACATGCGAAACTAGCTCCCGCGGTCGGAATCAGGCTACTTACGTGACGCTTGGGGTGTCCTGAGGTGCGGTCGCTACGAGACCGTCCCCAGCTTCTATCAGCTGTTTGTTCGCTCCTCCCACTCGTTACACCAGCGTTCTCGCCCTCCCCTCTAGCCTAGATGAATTCGACGTCTCCCTCCAGCCCGACGCCGTTTGCGCGCCCGCAGCGGGTCGACCCCAACACTGAAAATCGCGGGTCTGGCTTGCGCGCGTCAATCCTCGAGAGCGCGCTTGAGCTCGGCGTCGGCAGCAACCGCACCGTCGCGAACTGGATCTTCAATCCGGTGCAGGAAGCGGACGAGGAGGATGAAGTCGAGGTGTGTGCGCATGAGTCGTCACCGGGCCACTTTCGCTGAGGCAAGGGCGGGCGCGGCCGTGGCAGGATGTCAATTCGCCCAGTCTCACCTACGCGTCGACCGCGACCTCTGAAGAATCTAACCTTTCCGCTGGATTGGCACAGCGCTCCCAGCCCGGCGCCGGGATACTTGTCAACGGAAAGGACCAGCCGCTTAGCCTCGACACGTCCGTACAGTCCTCCCGGCACCCGTCGTCGGAGAGGGTCACCCCCGAGCCGTCCCAGCGCGCACTGC